GCTAGTTGCTGCCCGTGCTTATCAATTAAGAGATAATTATTTAATGACATTATTACGTGGATCCGTGAGTGGTCTTTTTGGACAATTGAACAATTTAAGCCCGGTAATGGCGGATAATTCCGTCTCGAGTAAATATTGGGTGAAAATTGGGGAGATTTTAGTCTTCCAGGAAGGTTTCGAGTTACCCGCGGGCATGGCGAAGGGTTAAGGACTCGTCGCGTCATTTGGCATTTGCCTCGGGTCAAATTCTTCGTCAATGCTTTACTTCTACCTTTTTTATCTTATTTTATACTATGCTGAGTGAATTTTTACCGGCAGACTCGATATTATTTTCGTAGTCAAATTTAAGTCCTGAGCTTGAGATTGCAAACTGCAAAGGAAGAGCAAAGTAGAGGGCGATTTCAATAATTTCTTGATACTTTAAGTATCCGTCAACGTCATATCTGCATATAATTACGATCTCGTGATGCGCCGGAAATTTTATTATAAATAAAAATATAAAAGTTTTTATATTCAAATTTTTTTAATGCTCTCGTTTGTAATAAAGATTTTTTTTAACTATAAATTTTTTATTCACAAATTTTATTAATATTTAAATTAAATTGAAAATTTTTCTTTTTCTTTATGACAAATTTTTTTTTTAATTCTATTTAATACAATCCTTATATTATAATCATTTTTTTATTAATTTAATTTTACTGATCTTTAACTATTGAAAAATATCCTTTTTTCTAAAAAAATATTTATAAAGATTTAAAAAAATAGATATTTATGTTTATTAAATAAATAAACTGTTCCCAAGTCATCTATATTATTAAGAAAATAAGCAAAAATTTTTGGCCAGTGTATTTATATGATGAAATCGGTTTTTATGGTTCAATTTTGTATCGTTGGAAAAGTCTTGACCTGGAGTTGTGCCTTTTCAAGGTTTTATATCATTCTCACCAATCTTGTGAACTATTGATATTTTTAAAGATATAAGCTCATCCCGATGTTACACTCATGAAGACCTTTCATTTGAGTACCCACATCAATTTTTCATATATTTTATATATTTATATATATGTATATATGAAAAATATATCAAAGTGCATGTGGGTACTCAAATGAAAGCTCCTGATGAGTATAACATCGAGATGAGCTCATATCTTTAAAAACGTCAATAGTTAAGAAATGACCTTGTATCTTGTGAACTATTGACATTTTTCAAGATATAAGCTCATCCCGATGTTACATTCATCAAGACCTTTCATTAGAGTACCCACATCAATATTTCATATATTTTATATATTTATATATATGTATATATGAAAAATATATCAAAGTGCATGTGGGTACTCAAATGACAGCTCTTGATGAGTGTAACATCAGGATCAGCTTATCTTAAAAACGTCAGTAGTTAAGAAAGTAGAGTGCAATTTAACAAAAATCATTATTTAATAAAGCGAAATTTTATTTATTTATGGTTCACAAGTCACAGCAGTCACATAGTGACTGCAAGGTTGCTAGTTAAATATTAAAATTTTTTTTTTGTAAAAAATTCTTTTTATTAAAATCAAACAACTATTTTTGACCATAAATTCAATTAAAAAAAATATTAATTAGATGAAATATTATAAATTTCACAGACATAAATTTTAAGAGTTAAAATGCAAATTTTTTGCAATAAAACAAAGATTTCAAAATTTCATTGACATAAAAAATTTATTTTTATTAAAATTTGACAAAATTAAATTTAATAATAATTTCTTCTATTGAAATGAGAGATTAATTTTTAATAATGAAAAAAAAACAGAAAGTTTTATATAGATGTTAAAAATTCTTAGAATTAAAATGAAAATTTTTTGCAATGAAAAAAAAAATTATAAATGAAGTAATGAAAGTGAGGAATTTTAATTTTTTGTTTAACATCAAAGAGGATTGTCGAAAAAAAAAGTAAAAACCAGAGAGAGGTACTGTTTGTATGGTATATGCTCAGCGAAGTTGGTCCAGGACGGGAATAAGAAGGAATCCCCGCGGCGCAGAGTCGTAAGCCGCGCGTTACGCTTTCGTCAAGGTGTGAGCGAAGACGAATGGCGTTGATACGACAAAACGCTGCCGGCTGTCCGGTTTGTCCTGCACTGGCATCACCGAGCAGAGGAACTGACCGTAGACTGGAGACTGGAGACTGGAGCCGCGCAAATGAAGACGTTACCATCATCAGTGTGCGAATGATTAGTGCGAGTAGCTGGACGGTAGTATTGGACTCGCTCTCATACTCTTTCTTATTCGTACACACATGCCCACACAAGAAGAAGAAGTCCCTTACTCTCTCGCCATTAGTTACTTCTTGCTACGAAATTACTTACCCCGATCCCCGATAGCTCGCGCACTCTCATCTCCCAATCCCACTCATCGTGCATTAATACACTTTCATTCATTTATTTGCCGACTTTTTATGCCTTTTAATTCTACTGCCTACTTGTTTTCCTCTTTTACCATTTAAACTCCCCAACAATTACGCTTTTTTATTTTTTTTTTAACACACAATCATTTATCTTAATCAAATAGAGAAATTTCAAATTATATATCATTACAATATAAATTAATATTTAAATCGAGCTATTTATTATTTTTTGATAAAAAATTTATTTTGTAAGAGATAATTTTAATTTTAATTAATTAAAGTGTTGTAAAAAAATTAAGAAAATTAGATCTGGAAAATTGGATTAAATTTTTTGTTTCAAAGATAATGAAATTAAAAAAAAAAAATTGAGTAAAAATTAAAATTACAAATATCATTTTTGAATTTTAATGAAAACTACCACTACGTGACTGCCGTGACTTCTGAACAATAAATAAATAAAATTTTGCATTATTAAATGATGGCATTTGTTAAATTGCACTGTACTTTTTTTAACTATTGACGTTTTTAAAAATATAAGTTCATCCCGATGTTACACTCATCAAGAGCTTTTATTTGAGTACCCACATGCATTTTTGATATATATATATATATATATA